AAAGAGAAAGCGACATTTTTCTTAAAGAGCGCGAATATGAACAATTTTTAGGTGTAGCCGGGTTCTCTTGTTGCAACACAATTATTATACTCGATAAAGTCTATAAATTTGCCATGATCTATGTGTTTGAATACTTGGCGGAATATTTGGAAAGTCCCTTTCCGCACGTAAATGGCCGTTTCTAACCAGCTTTGACCCTGAGGCAACATATCGGTGGACTCAACAATCGCAAATGCACGACTACCATTCGGCTTCACGATTTTGGTTTTCTCCAGAGAATCTTCTGTTGTGTCATCAAGGCTTTTTCGATGGGCGTGTTCTAGCCAACGTAGCTGGCTGCATTTTATTGTGGCTTTTGTGCCTTCTGTATCCGCTTGCCGCAGAACATTATTGTTCTGGACGATATCCAGCCTCCTAAAACCAGGATGCATTTTGTACGCCGGGAGTGGAACCGGCCGGGATAACGCACGTTTCGCTGATTTACTGTCCAAGTTGCACTGCTGCCCAGAAATATAGACAACCTTACTGAGCGCTAGACACACATCATGGTGACCACTTTTAGGCTGCTGTTCTTCACGATACGTCCTTCTAGAGGTCCACATGCAGAACATAGCCTGCAATCAGCCGACAAATGCGTGCACAACTTCCTACCCTGGTGGTAGAAATCCGCGCAGCTTTTGGAGACACCTCCATTGGTGCGAATTTCATGCTGAGATGCAAAAACACCATCTACGCCTGGAGAATGCTGAAAGAGAGAAAATGTCTTGTCTGTGTTGATATTTAGTCCAAACTTGGATAGATATGGTTAAATAAAAAAGAGAGAACACCGCTGAAAATGTTTTAGAGATCTCAGAATACAGACGATGAAACGCTAGCCGTGTTTTCTTGGAAACTACGGCATATTACACAAAGAGGTTGGGGTTACTGGGGTGCCCAATGCGCGAACCTTTAATTTCATTTCCAGCTACCAATTCCATCGTCTGGTCTACTATGTTTCTGTGTGGCTGCAGAAAAAAGGGTGGCCTTCCACGATGTTGAACAGTAGGTGCCACTTCTAAAATATCCTCTAAGAGGACGTCTGAGGCCGATCTGCTGGCAACCAGCCATATACCATCTGCCAACTACGTAAACACGATAGGCCTGTGTTGAAAAATTTTCGACGATCATTTGCCAGAAACCTACTTGGATATACTTCCTCACTAGCCTATAACGAACGCTGTCAAACACTTGGTATTTATCCACTTTGGTTACGGAGATTAGATTTTAACCTTACACTGATGCATAAACTGATACGTCCAGAGGATATCACTGTAGCGTTCGACGTTCATTTTCAACACAGTTCTCCATATGGTTCAAGAAAAACAGATTCCAATTTGCCAACCCTATTAGCTCGGAAAAAGATGCGAGGCAACATATTTATCGTAAAATAGTTCTATATTCGGAATAGACCTCAGAATAAAGTCATGGCCATTAACAACATCCAGCGTTTGGGAAAGTGCTTGGATAACAATTTTAGATCATCGAACATAATGTCTATCTTCACACTTTGTGAATCTTCCGAATACCTTGCTGAACCTGGTCCGGAGAACACTTAACCGTCAGCCGCATATAACGTACATGCCCGCTCGTACTATAAGGCTCCCACTTGGAGCAGCTTGCATGAAACTGATCATGGCGTCTCCACCGTTTACCCGCACCCCATGTGGCACTCGCTTCACTGCGTACTTATGAGATTGCGTAATTTTATTCATGAGCGTCGTTTGTATAGAGCTTTATTTATAGCAAATATAGAAAGATAAAACAGGATTGTAAACCACCTACACACCTTCCCCACATATTATATATATATGCCTATTCGTAAGCCATCAGGCTAAAATTAATGGTAGACGATACTGACGGTTTACTTGACTAGCATACAAAAATTTGCTACAGAAAACCGTCAAATAACACTCCCCCGTTTACCGTACATGATCGCATCAAAACCTCAATTCACATCGTGTGCTGGCTACTCAGCCACAAACTCTCCTCGTTAATCACTTAGTAACCCTTGTGTGCTATGAATTATGGAGTATAGCTTAAATATTGACTATATGAAATAAACTACCGTCTAAACTCTTTGGGAAGTTTTTATTATCACATGATGGTCATTTTGAAGTAGCCGCACAGTAAACGCGCGGCCGACTCGGGCAAGTTGGCCAACAATAAGCCAGGGGTCGGCCTGTCTCTTAATGATAATATCTGCTTTCTCAACGCACTTGTAAAAAACGCGCTTGGGTGTGCGTGATCGTGACAGATAATTACATGCGGTACAAAGCAACAAATGGATATAAAACGAGACAACCATGAAACCCGTTGAAAAATAAAGACGTAATCAGAGGGAAAAGAGTCACAGTTTGCAACGTCCGATTTACACATAAGGGAGGAAGGTAGTTCGTCTGTTCCACAGATTCAGTCCAGAAAATGAGATGTTACATTAATTTAGCTTCTACAAGGTTAAGTAAAGACGGCGTTTCAAATATTTCAAGGTCACGTAGGGGAGTACGTGCAGATGTATCTTCAACGGATTTCGCCGTTATTTGACGAAATTTCGATCGGAAGAATGTTGAAGTAAAACAGTTTGGATGAGGGAAGACGATAAATTCCAAAATCCTGCAAAGAATTCAGCAGACTCCAAAGCGGGACCGCGATGAACGCTGGAAAACGTTGAAAAGTTGAAATTCTGACTAATCGCTCCGCCAGTATAGGGTTTTGAGCCCCCATTCATCGTGAAAATTTTCGTTGTATTATGGATGCCCGTGAGAACGAGGAAAGGGGCGCAATGTGATGTGTTT